CCACAAACTTGCATTGAAAAACATTCCTAAAAATTTCAGCTACACTATGACAGCTTGCTTGAATTTCCTCTTTATCAAGGACTACATCCAACTCCAAAATGTGCCAGTTCTATAGCTGGAAGCTGATGCTTCCTCTAAGGCTTTTATTACAGTAGTAGCAGCCCATCTAAGAGGCATATAAAAGTTCCCAAAATCCAAAAATCAGACATGAAACTGTTGCCCTTTGATGGCATCACAGCCTCATATGAAGCCAATGATATTCAGAAGCACTGGCTTAGAACAACATTTCTCTAGCAAAATCAAAATTGAGAGCCCTAATGGGAACAGAGACAGCTGTGTCCTGTGCCCAGACATGCTCTAACATTCCTTAGGATGCAGAGGGAACACGGGTTGAAGACAGCCACGTAGGGGAAATTTATAGTCCAGCTTGCATTTCTTTTTATTCCATTCCTAGAAGTTCCTCTCTGTGGGGGACCCACTGATACAAAGTGGCATTTATTTGGCTTTAAAAGGACTCAAGCAGAGACCTGGAAGAGAGGTAAAGAGGAGGTTGTTCTTACCTATAACACAACTTCTCCTCTTTCTCAGGATAGCCACATCACCTAGCACAGCAGCATCAAGGCTCCATTCCTTTCTTCTTCCTTCTTACTCTAATAAGCTCTCAGTGATACCCTATCATATTGACAGTCAAAATAATGACCATTTTCAGACACAAAGACCAAAAATGGAAAACAAAATCATAACATTCCCTTGTTTCTTCCCTGCTGCTTTTTAATTAATTAAAAAGAAGAAAAAAAAATCATCTGAGTCTTCATTTATTAAAAAAGAATTACTTATAACAAATTAATCTTTATATGAGCAAAGTCCTTCAACTGAAATATTGACTTTATTCAGACGAGCTTAAAATACCTGCAGTATCACTGGGAATTTATTTCATAACAGAAACACAGTTGTCTCATGTTTGCATTATTGTACTATAAAAGATCATGACACACTAATACAAAGCCAATGCAAAAGGAAGAACCTAGTTTTGAAAACTAATTACTTTGCCAGAAATGTTTTTCCTTCCTTAAGCATGGAGGAAAGGTATAAAGGGTGCATGAGAAATATATTTGCCCCACAGTATCCAAAAAGGCAGATCCAAAATACCAGGCTGTGATCCTAACCCACAGAGGCAGCTCTAGGTCAAGGCCTGGAAAAGATCCTCTGAGAGCTGGGTTCTGTGCTGTGAGTATTGCAGGAAGGTCTGGCCTGGGAGAGCCTCCTCCATAAGGTCACCCTCAGCACCTCTGTTCTGTCCGCTCACTGATGTCCACAGTATCTCTCAGTAGCCAACTGAGGCAATACAAAATTGATCTTGCCAAAATATTCATTCTGGTTACATATGTTCAACAGATAATCAGAATGTCTTGTTAACTCACTATTAAAATCTCTGTAACATCAAGCAGGGGAGTAGAAAACAACTCATCCAGAGATGAAAAGCAAGCAGAGCTGTTTCAATTTTCCAGCAGCAATTCTGACAGGCACAGATTCTGTCTCAGACAAAAAAATGACTCAAAGTACTTGAGTAAATTACTTCCAACTACTTCTGTCAGCAGTGGTTGTATGATACACCTCTCATTTTCAGCCATTGAAAAAATACCTGTAATATGTTCTTTGAAGACCTCTGGTGGCAAAGACTGAACACTGACCTTCCCTCTAATTTGGATAAAAACATGAAATCTTCAGCAGAGAGGCTCATGCAGTGATTTTGAATGGAAATCCTGTGCACATTCAAACAGTTTGTACAGTGGCTGACTACAGTTTTGCTTTAAGATACAATTCCAATATATCACTGTCCTCATAATACCCAGCACCATGAACAATTGCTTAACTAGAGCTGAGCAAATAATTATTTTAGCTTCTTTTTATGCTGCATGGAATTATCTATAAATTGCAGGTACTGTAGACATAATATTAGATGAAAGAAATAACATTTATTCAAATAGCCAATAATTATTACAGCTTTTTTCTTTTGTCTTCCTTCTTTCTGAACCATAGGATTAAGGCAAGAAGAGATGAATGCTTAGGACATATTCCACCTTCTCCTTCACTTCAAGAAAAAAATATCAATTTTCCTTTGGTTTTCTTTTAGGAGTTTTTTTGTTGTTCAAGAAGTCAACATGATCCAAGTCACTCTGTACAACTCAAAATGTGGCTATAGATAATTTTGAGCACTATATGCTAACTAATAAAAAAATTCCGCTTTCCAGGATCTAAAACTGTCTCTCTCAATGGCCCAATTCTATCTAGGTTTTATTTCAGGAATTAGCTTGCTGTCAACCTATCCAAGTAGCTTTACTGCTTGCTTCTTTCCTTTTATCAGAATGATAACATCTACAAAATCACAAGAATATACATGTTGTGAAAGCTTAAAATTGTCCTCCTAGTATTTTTAGGTATTTAGAGGATCCTTTAGTATATCTATTTCTCCCAGATAGCAATAACCATTTATTGTCAAGAAAAATGGGTTGGGAGTAAAAGGAAAGATTCTCTCAATCTGAAGCTTGATTTCACAAGAAAGGAGAAATTAGCATCCTATTTTTCAAAAAAGGCAGAAACGCACTCTTTCATCCACAGATTCCCTACATATACTAAATATCCAAAGAGATGCTTTCTCTTCTCTAATACCATCAGTAAAAAGTACCTCTGTGCAGGAAGATCTTTTAGCATTTGAAGAACCTAAACATTTGAGAAATCCAAGTCCCTGCAAGACACACATTCTCCTCAATGCTGAGCACTCCAGCTCACAAATTAATTTTTTCTTTATTTAATGTTGTCATAGAACTTTATCAAGCTCTAAGATAAAACCAAAGTGGTCTGATGAAGTTTAGTTCCCCCAGGGTCTTAGCACATTTCTGAACTTAAATATCAGATCCAAAGGGCTCATTGCCATGGAAAAAACCTCATTCTTCATAAATGAGAAGAAACAGTAGCAAAGCTGATTTGTGCAGATATCTTTACATATTTTAAAATAAAACATATTTAGGGGATTTCCCCATTTGTTTTTTTACTACTGATCTTATAATAGTTTGAATTATACCATCCCAGTAGTTCCATGGTTAAACTACTGTGGAAACTGGAGCCAAAATAAAAAATGTCAATTCCACATATTTTACAACTGATTTTTCAATAGCTGCAAACAATCCAGACAGGGAATATGTCAATGTGTCCAAGTCTCATGGCTTCACTGTCTTATAAAATTATTTCTGTTTTAAACCATCCTACAAGATCTTTACAGCTTGATCTCAAAGTCTGATGTACTTCATGAGCAACTCTAACAAGCATCTTGCAGCTCCGGTGTGAATAAGTTATGCTGAAGAGAAAACTAAGGGAAAACAGCAACTCAGAAGGCTAATGAAAGGTGTGCAAGATATGCAGGGGAGAACAGCACCAATACTGAACTTATTTCAGAATATCACATCACCACCATACAATTGAGAGTGAAATGAACATAAAAACTATTCAAGTAGTCATTCATCCCTGATGAAGCATTATAGATACTTTGGGACTCTCCTAGTCTTCCTCACAGGTAGACAAAAGACATCAGGCTGGCACAGGAGTGTTACTTTGATTGTAAAAAATCCCTTTACTGATGTCACTCAAGAGAGTCTGGACCAGGCCCCTCTGTGTTGCAGGAAGCAGTAAGAGGGTCTAGCCATGGATGTAAAACAGGTATTTGCCCGGTTTCAATGATTTGAGATGTGCATTCTTAAACATCAAGGAAGAAAAGAATACCAACAGCTCATCTTTATTTCAGTAATTTTATATAAGCTCTCAAGAAAAGCAGTGAAGACTGGTAGCACATCTGGTTCAGTGGAGAGGTTACAGTAACATCAAAAACATTCAAATGTCTAAACAAGGGAGTTTCAACACTTTCAACAAGATCCCACTGTTGTGAGAACCCCGGCCTTGCTCTGGGGTCTCATGTGGTGGTGAAATTCCTCCTCCAACCCGTGCTTCCAAAGAAAAACTCCGCAGGCTTTAGCTGTTCGGTCTCAAGGCAGTTTATTGCTAGTTATCTAACAGATTATGTTCTCAGGCTGCGGCTATTTGATCAGCGGCCTGGGTAGAGGCACACACACACACTGACATCCTCTCTATCTGCTGTCTTCTTCGTCTCTCCCCCCCTGCCCAGGGCTGCTGCTATCTTTTACATGATGTATTACGTATAACATGTTTACAATTATTCCCCAATACCTACTACCTACGTTGCCAAGTGTTTTTCTACTCTAAACCAATCTGTGAGTGCCAACATCACCAAGAACATGGAGGTAAGGAAAAAGAAGGAGGAAGAACAGGATCAGCCCACTTTCCTCCATCTTAGAACTTCTGACCCCCATGTACAAAGTGAAAACCCCCCTGGACATGTGTTAAAACCCCCCTGTACAATACTAAAAAAATTTCCCCTCTACTTTGTAACTACTTTTACTATACTATCTAACCTTTTGTGACTGCTTGTTCCACCTCCAAAGTTGGCAATTCATTCCATGGCTCAAACTCAAAATCACAGCTGTTTGCAGCTGCCTGCCAGGGTCTAAAATGCTTCTGACCAAGGCCTGGAACCTCTAAAAATGTCTGAGAGACATTTTGAGTTCCCACACACTGTTTCCAATTTACAAAGCCAAAACTAATCTCACAGAGAAAACAGAAAGATAAAGAGGATCAAAATGAACGCCCAACGGGTGAATCTTCGTAGGGTTCAATTATCTGTATAAGCACAGTTTGTTCAGAATATTGTTATGAATTTTTCTAGAAGTGGTCTCCTACCATTTTATCCTATAGTTGTATCATAGAAAAGAAGCTGACAAAGGTAACCTCAACTTTGCCTTGAGCAGACAGGATCGTAAATTATTTTTGTTGTACTTAACAGCACACTATGTCCCTTACCTTTAGTATGCACAACCAAAAAGAACTTGTGCCAAATTCCAATATCAGGTACTTGAACACAGAATAGGAAAATTGACTGAATCAAGCTTTATTTATAGCTTTTAATACTCAAGTATAATACATGGTAACAGCAGACAGAAATTAAGACTTAATTTTATACACATCTGCAAAATACATATAATTTTGCATACAGACACCAACAAAACACTGAACAAGTTAACTCAAATAGTAGTTATAATAACTCCCCAACTTAGTGAAAATCAGTGTAAGTTCATTCATATTGATTCTTCTAGGACTAAAGTACAGAGAATACCACAGTTATTAATGTAATCTCCATTACTTGAAAAAGTGCATTTTAATAATAATAATAATAATAATAATAATAATAATAATAATAATAACAACAACAACAACAACAACGTTTTTGCACCCAGGATGGTGCAAGAATGTAAGTGGAACAAGTTTGCAGGGATGTAGTATTTTTTGAACCAAATGATACAGCCAGAATAAAATTAGACAAGCTTCTGAACACTTCTTCAGACCTATAATATCGTCTGAATTAAATTTCCCTCAAACAATCGTGGAGATATAATTTGAAGCTTAAAGTTCATGGGAAACTTGCTACAGAAGTTGTTTGGTCGACATGGTTCTAAAGTCAGTTCCCATTAGTACATACTTATTTATTTCTTTCTCTTGTTAAATTGTCAAATTTCAGTTATGATGACTGATATATTTTCCTATACAGGACATTTCAAAAGTAAATAGGTAAATAATTCACTAGATTGCCAATGAACAGAAATTAAAACTTGAGCTATAACTCCCTCCAGCATTAAACACAATTTTCTTTCAGTCTTGTAAAACCAGATTTAACACCTACATGTTTAATGCTCTGCAGATCTAAGGAATAGTTTCATATTCATTATTTGGCATTTACACAACAGATGGTCTCAGGAAACACAATACAGTTCTCTCAGGTTCTAAAATCAAGATTCTCAGTTTTCATGAAAGTTGGAACAGTGGGGATTTTGTTAGTTGATTGCTAAGCTTCCAATTCAAAAAGTGTGTTCAGATGTACAGCTTCTATCTAACTTCAGCAAAACCAGGAATCTGAGCCCAGATGACTTGAAGTCATCTACACTAGCCAGGAGCAAAACAATTAAGAAAAGTGAGGGATGGTGTTACTTAAGGAAAATGATGGCCACAAGAAGAGCCCTCTGTTACATCGTCTGTGTTAACCAGTCTCTTCATTCTTGAAAATTAGGTACTCACCTTCCTAAAATAAGAAGTCAAATCATCACAATTATCTGTCCACTTGGAAAGTAGCGCCCTAAAATTAGAACATGGTAAGACTGTCTTCATTTCAATACCTGATATACTTACTCCAAACTGGTGTTTGAGTATCTGTTCAAGGTGAGCCTTCTTGACACTGCTTCACTTTTTCCCGAAAGATATCACTCAAGTTTCTCTTCTGAAGTTACATAAAGTATTAACTGGGCAAAACTCAAAATCAATGTTCCAATGGTTAAGAACCTCTCCAGATTCTGAAAAACAAAGATTTAAAACTCTTCTACAAATGCAGGTCACAAATTTCAGCAATGGCCTTCTGCAGTCTTGGAAAACTCCTTAGCCATGACTAAAGTAATGCAAAGTCTAGTTCATCTTGTGGCCTCAGAAAAGGCCACTTCTATTTTATTGCATCTCTCCATAATTATCTTCACATATACAACAGACTAGGGAATGTCTCTGAATATGAGAATTACTGAGGGTGGCCTCTAAGTCTCTGCTTTTAGATATGGCTCTCAAGTAGTCTGCATGGGCTTCAGTCCTTAACTACCTCTGTACTACTTGAATGGCTGATACTCCAGTGACATAATTATCAACTGAGCTGAGAATTTAGGTGTCTAATGACATACACCTAGTTACTTAGGTATATAAAGAATGTCTAAAACCAGATATCTAACTGCTCTGAGGTCAAGAAGAGCATACATAGATGTCCAAACCAGTTCCCATTATTCATTGCACATGCCTGAATGAAATAATCCATCTGCTCCAATTCTAATACTTTGCTTTTTAAGATAGTTTGTATTGATTGTTGCAAATGGGAAAACCTAAGTGGACCTCTAAACTCTCTGTTATAGATATTTTTTCTCATTTAGGGTTTAAAGAATAGATTGAGACAGAGTATGAAATGAGAAAAATTCTAAAAAAAGACCTTCAATCATTCAAAAAAGAAAGTGCAAGTACATGGTCTGAAATTTTATTGTATTGAGTGCATAATATAAAAATTAATTTCATCTATCCTGTTTTGAGGAAAATATGGAGATTTAAAATGGAAAATAGTATGTACAATGGCAAAAATTTCTCCACAGAGCCCTTAGCCCAAGATACCTTGTGACTGCAGCAAAATGGGAAACTTCACTGATTACAGAGGAAGGCCAGTTATTTTGAGGCATTGCTGTGGCAGGCCTTTTACAAGGATAGAAAATAAGCCTATCTGCAAAAGTGACATTTGCCCAGAATTTGAGATTGATAATGAATGGCATAATCCATGTAACAATGGGGAACAAAATAACTGCTCTGTAGTCATCCTTTGTGATCCTTCAGCAGTTCTGTAAAAATTGCATCATGGCAGTAATACTGTAAGTTTTTTCTAATGACTAAGCTTTTTACAAATTACTTTTATTCATTAGTAATGAATAAAATTACTAATTTTATTCATTACAAATTCTATTCATCAATATCCTTTTGGATTCTTCAAATGCTTTCAGTATTCTGTTAATACATATTCTGCATAACTACTGCCTAAACCAAATGTTTCCTTTTCAGTAATTTATACAACAATATATGCCCATATTACATACCAAGTCTCTTTACTATGACAACATATTAAAAACACAATGAAGAGTTCAGGTTATAATCCCAAGCATTGTCTTAGGCCTCTTTTTGTCACAAAAAAGTATGCAAAACAAGTGCATTGCCCTGTGACTTGCAATATTCCCTTTATAGAAACGTAAATGCTGCATTTTTCTGTTTGTTTGACACACTGCTTTGAGTCTATATTTGCCTTTTGTGTTTTGCTACTTGATTAGTGCAAATAAGCCTCAAATCACTGCAAGATACTGTTTCTTCTGCTCATTTCACCCTCACTGTTTTTGAGAGAACTGGAGCCCTAAATGCATTATCTAAGGAAACACGAGTCAGACAAGCAACTGGTTCCAATTGCAGGTCATAATCTCCCTGCCCCATCTATCTCATCTTGCTAAATCCTCCTAAATCCCCTAGCTTCTGCTCCTCTAATCATGAGGGTTAGAAGCTGCAAGGGCCGCTTTTCGCTTCATTAAAATTTCCTTTTAATCTTTTATAATCTGTCAGCACAGTACATAAACACCCATCAGAAGCTTATTCCTTCTAATTTCACAAAAGGGGATAATTTTACTATACATTCTATATTTGCAAAGTTAAGCTGCATTTCACACCACCATAAACCTTGGTCAGAAGGATGAATAGTTAAGCAGTTGAGCAAATGGCATTTGCTGCTACAGCTGAGTGCATTATTCATTGTGAAGCATTTATTTGGTGAAGTTAAACCTTGGTTTTGCTTATGAAACATCCAAAAGCTGATCCCAAGTTATTTCAGTACATGTGGCTCTTTTCAGAAAGTACATTTGAACTGTGTTGCTGCCTGTGTGCCCCTTGTGTGACCGGCTGCCTAAATCAAACAGATTAGTTTTCCTTCCTGACAGGGTGACTAAAATTTCTTTTAGAAAGTAACAACTGGTTACCCAAGCAGATATTGAACAGGTCATCCATCTTCTGCTACAAATTTTCAAAATTTCAGTGAGAAAATGAGCTATTATCTAAACATTCAATCCCAATCATTAACAACGTATATTTCCCCTAAAAATACTGTTAGCACCTTATAAGTCTATATAACTTACATAACTTTACAGATCTGTAGCAGAAATGCCTTCAGATACATCCTCTAGGAAACCATACTATACAAACATTCTCTGAGAGGAAACTTAAGAGAGGTCTCACTCATGACAGCAGGGATCTACCCTCACTTCTCCTCTCCTTCCCTTTGTAAAAGTACAGATGGATGTAAATAGGATGGAACCACTGGAGGCAATCTAGTCCAACTTTCTACTCAAAGCCAGGCTAAATTCAAAGTTTTATTACATTCTGTTCTCATTCTAACCTTTCCTTATGAACACCTCATGACAAAATACATTAATGTTCAAGAAAAAGGGAACTGGTAATTTTTAATTTTTAAACTGATGTGGGTTACTTATGATTTATTACTCTTTTCTTTTGGTTGTTTGGTTATGGTTTTTATTTGGTTTTGTTGCTGTTGTGGGGTTTTTGTAAACACAAAGCATTGAGCTCCCCTGATTTTTAGAAACAAGAAATAAACAAGAGTAACATGACTTATTTCTTCTATTACTATAAGCAGAAGACATATCTAGTCATAAATATAAGTCTAGACCAAACCCATTTGGAAATATTTAAAGTTGTGTATTGCATGAAGGCATATAGTCCTTCTTCCTTGAAAACAGACTCCCTGGAGCTACCACTTGCAAATCTGGTGAGACACTGCTTAAAAAGTATTTTCTCTTACATAAACATATGTTTAAAAAAAAGTGGGGGGTGGGGGAGGGAGTGAATGAAATTTATGTATGTGTTGCTGGTTCTAAGTAGGGTTAATTATGGAATTGTGATTCTGCAGTCTCCTCAAAGTTTTATCATATGCTGTTTAGCTTGCTGCTCTCCCTAGTTTGTTGAATGAATCTAAATTCCGTTGAATTTTTTTCCACCTTAATTATACATTTACATATAGTATCACATGAAGCCAAGTATTAGAATTGCTACTCCAGTAAAAGCTTCAAGAGAGTAACTACAAGTGTATACCAGTGTAAATGAGACACAAATTCCATTCTGTTAGCTGCAGCAGAAACTTTTCAGAATTATCATCCTGGAAGTGATAGTGAAGTAAGGAACATAAGGATGCTCTAACTGCAAATTACCTCTTTGATTGTATCTACAGTACTATAAAAATTTTCCTATTCCAATTTTTAATTTTTATTTTTTCTCCAGAGGACAGTGAAATAAGTGGGTGTTTATTTTAAGGAAAAAATTACCCATTTGCTCAAGGGAGGGGCTTTTCTTCCATTAGGTTCTCATCGAAAGTCATGCTGCAAACATTTCTTCCATTCTAACATTTACATAGCATAAAGGAAAGCATCTGAATTTATAAAAAAATATAAATTCACAAATTTATTTATAATAATTTATAATTTACTCAATTTTTGATGATGCTAAACATAATTCATAATCTGCAAAAGATCTAAACAATAGGGGGTTATCTTTGCTGTTAACAGTACACAACACACATGAAAAACTGTTATGAAGTAATAACTAATAATTAAAATTTAGCTGTAAAGGCTCCATGGAAATATTGTCAGCCTCTTTTAAATCTTCTGTCACTGATGTCAACATTGCATCTCTCTAGACTTCAGCTCCAACCCTGTACACCCTTTCACCATTTATATGCTCTCTCTCATCCTGTGATGATTTGTCCTCTTCTGCAAACAGATTCTATACCATAAAACTATTCTACCCTCCACAGGAAACAATAACTGCAACATTAAAGGATTTTGAAACTGCTTATCTCAAAACTGGTTTGAAATTAAGTATCCTATTTCTGTAGACTGGAACTGAGCACATTTATTTTAAAGTATTGGATGTAGCTAAAAATTCTCTTGACTTTCCCTAATGAAATTCTGTAACCTTCCCAAGCATGATAGTTTTCAAGCTTTCAGTATGCCACAGTCCCACTCCTTCAAATATTGCTGAAGACAGACAAAAAAAAAAAAAAAAAAAGAGTGCCAAGATAAAAAAAAAAAAAAAAAAAAAAAAAAAAAAAAAGCCCTAAAAAAAAAACTGAAAAAAAAAAAAAAAACGCCAAAAGAGAACACTTAAAAGTCTAGGAGAACACTCAAAAGTCTAGGAGAAATATCTCTTCCTGGCTGAGACCAAGCCAAAAAAAGTTAATCAGATATTATGATTCTTTAAAAATAATTAATATTTCTTCTGTTTACAACAATGCTTTATGTTCTGAAGGATACAGAAATGTCTGCATGAATGCCTGGGGAAAGCCAGCTTGACAACCCAGTCCAGTCCTCCTTTTGAAGCCAGCTTGACAACCCAGTCCAGTCCTTCCCATTCTGCATGAATGCCTGGGGAAAGCCAGCTTGACAACCCAGTCCAGTCCTCCTTTTGAAGCAGTTCAGAAGGACTGGGATAACCAGCTCAGAAGGACACCAAGCATCTATTTCCCATGCTATGGTATCTTAAGCATTACAGAACTCTTATAATAAACTAAGACCTATAGGAAAGAAAAAATCAAAGCTGCAATCACTGAATGAAAGAGGAAAATCCACACTTATTTTGAACAAGCAGTGGCAGACATTAAATTTCAGGACTGAATTTTTCTTCAGAGGGGTTTCTTCTTCCACAGACTCCAAAAGGGGTTAAACTACTA